AAAAAAATAATAAAATTAAAAATATTTTATTTCATTAAAGGACTAAAAAAATTATGAAATTCATTTAATTAAATAAAAAATTGTCAATTTTGAACATAAGAAACTAAGACATTCATTAAAAATATTTAAAAAAAAAGCAGATTAGGGCTAGGTTGGAGCTGGCTGTGGTGACCGCTGCGAAAAGTGGGATTTTGTTCCTAATCTTAGAGTTACCATTATGGGTAACAGTTGTTGGTGCTTGACCGACACTAGGATAGTATTAGTTGGATGACTGTATATGCATAGTGTGTTATTTTGTATATAAATATTTATTATTTTACCTCTTCTTATATATATATTGTTATCCAGTTGAATATTTTATTTTAATTCACTAGTAGTTTAGTTCGATTCCAAGGGGTGCCTTCTAGTATTATTTCATATAGGGATCCAAGGTTCACTTCTAGATTTTTGGCAGAGTCTACACCAAGCCTTAGGTACGAGGTTGAGATTGGGTTCTGCTTATCATCCACATCAGATGGTCAGTCAAAGAGGACGATTCAGTCCTTGAAAGATTTGCTGAGGGCTTGTGTGCTAGACCACTTGGGGAGTTGAGAAGAAGTCTTACTACTGGTGGAGTTCACGTACAATAATAGCTTTCATGCTAGTATTGGGATTTGAAGCATTGCATGGTAGGAAATGTATGACTCCTCTGTGTTGGTATCAAAGATGGTGAGTCGGTAGTCTCGGGGCTAGAGTTAGTTTTACAAACTATTGAGGAGGTGAAGTTGATTCAAGAGAAGCGACTTGATGAGCCTAGACAATACACTAGGTGTCACAAAAGGAGAGGAGCAACTCGGGAGGAGCAAGTAGGAACATCTACTAATCCTTCTAAAAGAGCCAAAGGATTAGCTTCAAAGAACAAGGGGAAAAGGGTTGAAGAAGTTGAGGCATCAGAAGATTCTAGCACTAATAGTGAGGAGGAGGAACCAAATGCTATACATTCAAATGGAGAAGAAGCTGAAGGATTTTTGAATGAGCAACATCATCATGTGGAAATTAATTATGTAGACATTGATGAGGATGAAGAGTGAAGAGGATTTAACAAAATAGTTTTAGGAATGACAATTGTGTTTTGCTATTTTTTAACATTGTTGCTTTGTTTTGATGGCTATTTTTGTTGGTTAGGGGTTTATGTTTCTTTATGATGACTATCAATAGATTATAAATGCCATGAATTTTAGATTGTTATATTGTTGGTTTTAATATGTGACTGTGTTTGTTATTTTTCTACTTTTGCATCATATTATATATATTTTTTTTTTTTTTGTCCGCCATGATGTCCGCCATAGACCGCCATGGCAATATGGCACTTAAAGGTCCATGCCGCCATCCGCCGTATAACCTTATTGATAACCTTGCTTTACTTCCTCATCAATCTCCGTGATATCTTGCCAATAGGGCTTCGAAATTACTTGTAATTCCTTCTCCTCATTCTGCCTTGAAAGTGCATCCGCCATTCTATTTGCGGCCCCAGTTTTATACACAATTTCAAATTCGTATCCCAGCAGCTTAGCCAACCAATTTTGTTGATTTTGGGTCGTAATTCTTTGCTCCAATAAATGTTTCAAACTCTTTTGATCCGTGAAAACAGTGAACTTCTGTCCGAGCACGTAAGGTCTCCAATGTTGAATGGCCAACACTAGAGCCATTAATTCCTTCTCATACACTGACTTGGTAAGGGATGCCTCCCCCAAAGCTTTGCTGAAAAATGCTATAGGCCTCTTGTTTTGTGTCAACACCGCTCCTATTCCTTTTCCTGAAGCATCACATTCAATAGAGAAGGGTTGAGAAAAATCAGGCATAGCTAAAACAGGAGCCGACGTGACAGCCTGTTGCAATAGCCTAAACGCCAAGGTACTGTCTTCCTTCCATGCAAAATTTCCCTTTTTTAGCAAGTTGGTCAAAGGCCTGGCTATTTTTCCATAATTGCATATGAAGCAGCGATAATATCCGGTAAGGCCCAAAAATCCCCTTAGCGCCTTGATAGACTTTGGAATAGGCCATTGTAATATAGCTTCAACCTTTTGAGGATCCATAGAAACCCCTGCTTTAGAAACTATATGCCCCAAATAACTCAACTCCGTCTTACCAAATTCACATTTCTTTAGATTGGCCAAAAACCTGTGTTTTTCCAGAATATGCAGTACCTTCTTTAGATGCTGCAAATGATCCTCCCAAGATTTGCTATACACCAATATATCATCAAAGAACACCAATACATACCTTCTTAGGAGGGGTCCTAATATGGCATTCATGGCACATTGGAAAGTTGCTGGGGCATTGGTTAATCCAAATGGCATTACTAAAAACTCATAATGCCCTTGATGGGTACGAAAAGTTGTTTTCGGAATATCCGCCTTATACATTCTTATCTGGTGGTAGCCAGCCTTCAAATCAATCTTAGAAAAATATGCAGCCCCATTCAGCTCATCGAGAAGTTCTTCAATCATGGGAATAGGAAACTTATCCGGAATTGTAGCCTTGTTCAAAGACTGGTAATCCACACAGAACCTCCAGCTACCATCTTTCTTTTTTACCAAAATCACTGGACTTGAATATGGACTGTTGCTCGGTCTAATAACCCCTGTAGATAACATCTCAGCCACTTGCTTCTCAATTTCATTTTTCTGTATGTGAGGGTATCGATAGGGTCTAACACTTATAGGATCCGTTCCAGCCTTGATTGGAATTTTGTGATCAATTTCTCTATGAGGTGGTAACCCTACCGGTTTAGCAAAAATATGACCAAATTCTTCTAACAATTTTTGCAGTTGATCTCCCATTGACACAGGCAGATACTCATTCTTTCTCTCCTCTTTTTCCACAACCCACAACATTAACATGCCTGCTACTTCACCTTGTGACAGTTTAATCAAGGACTTCATAGAGATAACTAATTTAGCTAAGCTTGGATCCCCTTGTATCTGAACGTTCTATCCTTGATCTACAAAATCCATGCTCAAAGTCTTCCAATTCACTTTTACCTCCCCCAAGGTAGCCAACCCAGGCACTCCCCAAATCACATCCACGCCTCCTAAGTCAAACAGAAAAAATTCTTCAGATAATTCATAATTTTCCATGTGTACCTTCAAATTTTTGCAACGCCCCTAGGTCTCTTTTCTTTTCCCATCTCCCAGCCTCACTTGGTACGGTTCGGTTGATTCCACCTCCAATCCCAATTTCTGTACCAATTGGCTAGAGATAAAATTGTGACTGGCTCCACTATCAATTAAAATCAGCACTTTCTTGCCCTGAATGGTTCCTTGAAGCTTCATGGTTTGAGGTTGTGTCCATCCTCCAGCTGAACACATGGACAGGTCCATCCATTGGCACACCGCTTCTAGCTCTTCTCCTCCTTCTTCCTCTAGCGCCTCCTCCTGTTCCGCTCCAGTTTGTTCATCCTCAACCAAAATTAATACCCGCAAATTCTTCCCTGAACAGCGGTGCCCTGGTCCATATGCTAGTCCACAACGAAAACACCTGCCCTCATCTCTCCTTTTCACATATTCAGGATAAGATAGGTTCCTTGTTCCTCTATTTCTTGACCACGAATTTACACTTTCGCTTGTTTTAATTCCAGAAGTCACGGCCTCCGACTTACCTCCTTCTTGTGCATGGCGACCCACTTCGCCAATGCCCACTCGCGACACAATTCCCCCTCCAATTTGGTATCGTGAACTTGCATTTTGACGGTTAAAAGAACCCCCGTATGTTCGCGCTTCTTTCATTGCTTTTTCCACATCACACGCCACCTCCATGGCACGAGTTAAATCCTTCGGATCATGAGAACGCACTTGACCCCTGATATCTTTTCGTAGTCCTGCTAGGAAATAACCCAGCAATTGATCCTCTGGTGTTGAAATTGATTGTGCCACCAACAGTTCGAATTCTTGCACATAGTCTTCCACGCTCGAAGTCTGTCTTAGTGCTGCCAGCCTTTCATACACCGTGCTGCGACCGTTTCCCCCAAACCTTCTCAACAAAGCCGTCGAGAACTCTTCCCAAGAAGGATTCTTGGACTTCTGTCGCCAAAATTGGAACCAGTGAACAGCATTCCCTTCCATACTTATGAATGCCAGGCGCAATTTCTCTGTAGGTTTGACTTGTTGTGCTTCAAAAAAATTTTCTGCCCTAGCTATCCATCCCAGCGGGTCACATCCTTCAAAAGTGGGTAATTCCACTTTTTTCATCCAAGAATGACGCATTCCCCCATTCTCTCCTTCCGATGACTCTCCTCCCTCCTTCACTTCCGATATATTCCCATTGTTGACTGAATCATTCTCCCCTTCCTCAGAAATTGGATCTTTCTTCTTATTCATACACTCAAGAATCAGTTCCTTAATTTGTTTCATGTCTGGCATGTTTTCTTTGATGTAACTGATGTCTCGTTTCAACTCCGCTAATTTCATTCCTTGTTCGCTGGTCAACTTCTCCAAATTCCCCACTCGATTTTCCATCTCGTTCTTGAATTGGATCCGGCAGGTCGGACCAATTTGTTAGGATTCTTTCTGCGATAGAAAGGAAACACCAGGAAATACAGACAGAAAAAAGAATGAAATAATGCCTCAGTATTAGTTAGAATCAGTAAACCTGTAATGAATGTACACAATGTACCCAAAGGAGCCCTCTCCTTTTTACACTGGATCTCCCAGTCGCCTAATACATGAATAGTCCCCCTTAACTCCTCCCCAATTAGAGAGTTATTTATAGTAACCAAAATCCGCAACTGTAACTGACCCTTTTCGAAATACATTCATAACAGATTCCTAACTACTAATTCACTCTTTTATTCTTCCTCCTATAATAGACTTGTAGGGTCTGTTTTTGGGTTATTTTCAACCAGCAATGACATGGGAATAAAAGGAAGACTTAAAGATGGACAAAAATAAGAACCATTGGAACACTATTAAAGATGCACAAATTTTACACACATGACAAAGTGGATATACATGCATACTGACCTATGAAAGCATAGCATAAACTGTCACCAGTCTTGTGATCACGGATGATTTCAGCCCTATAATTTGAAAAAAGAAAAAAAGTAGGTGAGAACAGCATAACAAATGATATAACCATCAGCAAGTCTCCTGACAAGTCAACTGCTTAATATTACTCACGATGATACAGTTCCAAAGCGTGAAAATATTGTATGCAAGTCCTCATCCTAAAATTTAAAGAAAAATATATTAATAATTAAGTACTGATTACAACTTCGGTATAAATCAAGAGGGAAAGAGTACATGATAA